GATGCAAGATTATTTGATAAGAAGATAAAATACTCATTTTTTATATATCATTCTACATTTGATGTTGCTCTCAAGGAGAATGGTACTTCTTTAAACATCGTGGGTAAAGATCTATCAACATTTTAACTTCAAATCTATATGATCTTAACTCAAGAGTTTCATTTTATTTTGAAAGATCATTTAAATAGAATCAGATATCATGTATAGAGAACTTTATTTTACTTTTTACCATTACATATTATCGAAATTTATCATTTGATAATACAGAAACTAACCGCCTATAGTACGATGGATATGAAACTAACATGTTATTTAACGAATTAACAGGATTTCTTTGTAACGATTAAGTTGATCTCATTTGTGGTACAATTAAAAAACAGGGAGAGTTATATGGTTGTTTCGTTTTAGCATGGGACTCCTTAATAGTGTGCAGCCACAACTCTCTACAGGTATCAAACTATGAACAATGAATTCGGAACACTTCGATTAAATGAAGAATCAAAGGATCTAATGGTTAAACTTTACTTTGAGACTGGACGATCTTGAGTTCAATCACTGACGGAGTAGTGAGTGTAAATTTCTAAAAAATTCCATAAGAGGTTGAAATAGTTGCATGGTTCTCCCAATTTACAACGACATATAAATTCAGATCAACCTGTGATGAATAAAACCTGAAGATTGAGAAGGTTAAAAGAGACGGAAACCGAACAGTTAACGAGACTCTGACTAAGAACACAAGTGAAAACATTAGTCTTTTACAAGCAACGAGGAGTTTTCTGTTTCGACATGCTATATTATTAACAAAACACGTTTGTCTTTTATGTGTTTAGCCAATGATCAGAAAACAAAGTGGCACATTAATTCTATGGGTGAGTCTCTGTACGAATTTCGAATGCAAGAAATAAGTACATAATTTACTAAAAAACTGAAGCCGCGTCATTCTTAACATTATCATATCAGACAAATAACGCGATGGCGTTTGAAGCGAGGGTACTGGGTTCGAGTCCAAGAGTGAACATCAACTCTGAGATGCAGGTACATCCAGCTGACAAGGCCTAAATGGGACGGAACGCGCGTCCTAGGATTCCATTGCTAGCCACTATCCATCTTTGCTTATTAAAACTACTTATATTTATGACAAGGATACATTTTATATATTATATCAGATGCAACAGATACAGTACTTTAAAATGCCTAACAAATAAGTTATTTTATAGTTGAATCCATGAGTCGATTTAAACTACACAACCATGGGAAACCTGGAAGCACTCAACGGCCGTTTCGTCCTAGTATAGACTCCTCAACAGTGAGAATCCACGGTCCCACACACCTCACTCAAACCCAGGACCTTTGATCTCGTGCGCGAAAGCTTAACCTATAGACTTATGAGCCGGTCAGCATCTTACAGTGTTAATGTCTGACTTCAACCAATCCACGAAATTGCACTACCGTACATCATTGTCTTCAGTGAGTAAATGCCTCAAAGCAGATACGGATTAGCTCCACTGGTCAGGGCTTCTCACCAGAACTCAACGAAACACATCTTGAAGCCAGTCACTAGTGAGAACATGAAACCTATTCAGATTACATTGTTACTCTTTAAAAGTTTAAGATATCGGTATGAAGGAGCTATTGTGTTTCAATTCATAAATGAAACATATGATCACATGCTATGATATATAAAATATATATAAAGTTTTCAGTGGCGCAGTTGTGAGATGTTATCATTTGCATGTTTTTCTATGTTCTGCAGAAGTGTTTACTTCACTTAAATAAAGTATGTTTAAAAAAAGTTAATAGAGTTGACATATTAAGAAATTTGAACTTAATTTATAGGATGGAAAGTTTTGCAAAGGCAATACAGTTAATGAATAGTTATCAGTATTATGATACTTGATCTTTGGAACCATTTGACTTAAATCGTTCAATCCACTAGTTATAGTTAATACTCAGATATTAGGTTGTTGGAGATAGTCAGTAGGAAACCATTAACTTAGGTTCCGTGTTTCTTAATACGTCATTATCAAGGCGTATCTATAATATCGAGTGGACTGGTGCACTTGATCTGAAAATAAAACAAAATTAATTAAGTTATTTAATTTCAATAATAAAATATTTGGATGGAAAGCTAACAATTCCTGACAGTATGAATATTAATGAAGATTTCTTTCTGTTCACAATGATGGGAATCAGTTCAATATATAATGTACCAGACAAAATGTAAGTATTGCTTATCGGCCTACTCACATTTCTATAGTAGTCAAACAAAATTAGCAAAGGTATTTGGAATGAAAGTGTGTTAATCATTATCAGAAGGGGGGTTTGTGGAGATTTTAGTAACTTTATGGTTGAAATCATGAGTCAACTGAAACTAGAACACCATCGAATCTCGCAAGGCGGGATCGTGGATTCCTACTGCTGAGGAGTCCCACAATAGGATGAAACGACCGCCCAGTACTTCCAGGTTTTCCATGGTGGTTTAGCTTCAATTGACTCATGATTTCAACTAGAAAATGTGTTAAGTTATGAAAAATGACACATACATTATATCGGTTGAAGAACATTAGTTTATTTAAACGATCAATCCGACAATTTACTGACTAATTAGTGTTAAGTTATACAAACCAGTTAAGTGTATTTAAATTTAACTGTCAACCAGATATGAAAATCATATTGAACTCATTATATTTCAACTTATTTCAGGTACATAATAAATTTGAATGTTCATTCATGTATTCCTTTATGTGTGAAGCAGTACACTTTTATTTATTTATAAGAATTAACTATACAAGTGTTTATTTTTAGTTATAGTTACGGGACCGTTTGTAATTGTTACGTCTCCTACTTGATTAGGGCAGAATACGATATACAACTATCGGCACTCGAACATGTAGAACCCCACAATCATAAATCGGACAATTGAAGAAATAAAGGGGACCATTACTGAGTAAGAGTCATATTTACAGTTTATAGTATTTGCTGTAACACCATTATAATCCAGCCAACCCCCAAGGAAGACAGTTATCCGATTGCATGCCATACCTGTACAACTGAGTATGTATGATTAATTGCACGTGATAATCTACACTTTTATTTTTCCTACTTACTAAAAGCGCTTGGTGACTCAATCGTATCCTCATAAAGCTTGCCTGTTACACAAAATTCAATAATTCGTCCTTCTCATTGTGTAATGGCTACTTGTTTGATTTAATCTGTACTTGAAATACCTTTTCCCCACAACTCCGTTTCAACTTCTGCAAATTGCACACGGTTGAGAGTTATAATAAAAAAAGGTTTTCATGTCGATTATTATACGAAGTATCAGAATAGACTCTGAGATAATCAGCAGCACACTCTCCTACATGTTACTTTTCAAATACAATTGACCTAGAATGCTTCACTCACTTTGTAGTGAACAAGAAGACGAGTGGAGACAATCGAATGTATTTAAGCACAAATTATTTCATTAAAATCTGATAACCATACAGTAAACAGTTAATTTGCAAAATAACAATCAATTGTCTTAATCTTGATTGTTCCTTCTGTAAAAAGCAGTCCATCTTCTTTGATGTCATTGTTCATGCATGCTATTACACTTAATATAAGCTATTTTGTACAGAATAATTGGATTGTAGCCATGAGTGAATCGGAGTTTCATCCTATTTCGAACTCGTCAGCTGAATATTCCAGTGTTGAGTTCACAGGAGTACCAACTTTTCGCTTTAAAGGACAAGACATACACTGAACTACTGGCCACTAACTTGTTCAACGGGCACGACGTCTACACAATTATTGGTAACATTTGATATGTACCAACAGACTAATTGAAGTTTGGTCCTGAGTCTCAACTATTGGATTATTCAAACCCTTAATGATAATTTAAATTTAAACAAAGAAAAACGAAAACTAGACTGTGCAAGATACAATATTCTTCAGAAAATATGTTCCATCCGATGTTGAAATAAATCTTAATCTTGAGACTGTGAAATTTGTAAGTCAATTATTAAGGAAATTGCTATCTTTTGAGACAGATTCACTTCACAACATTCATATTGTTCACAATCAATCAAAGTAATTTCCAAAACAAGTTCATGATGGCTGTGAGATATATGTTTTCTAACCGTTACTACTTATAAGTAGTCAGCTTTCTCATTGCACAACTTTTCGCCAGAACTACATAGTACTAGTGCTTTCGTTGGGCCAATGTATTTTTCATTTCAGCTACATTGAGTTGATTATTTTTGGTCTTGTCTGTGCTGAGTGTTTATTTTTGTGTTTGGTTTTATCACCTTGAATATAATTTTGTAGCCTAAAACTGATTATCATTTACTGTGAAATACTTTATTCATTTATTTATACTTCGAGAAGCTAAGAGAGTATTCTGATGTTAACTGATCCAAGGTGCGTTATTTTGGCACATCTACCAATAACGACTACTCAGTTAATACAGACCTTCACCAGTCGTAATTAAATTATTCATATAAAGATTCTAACATAACTGGACAAATATTACGAAACGTAGTTTCTGGACTGATTTTCGAACTATTATTTGTATAGTTACTAAGTAACTGGGGTTATATTTATATATTGTTTTTATCTTAAGCTTCCACCTAACCGTTCAACAACCGTTACCCCTCTTTTATTGTCAATCTATTTTTCACAGACACCGACTCATTTGTGTACAACTGTGACTTTCTACTTTACGGTGGGGCGCGTTAAAGTATGTTTGAATATAAAACCATATCTAATTGAAAAGTAATAATAAAAGTTGGTTGGTGACTTCTTGGACATAAATTAGAGCTTACAAATAGAGAACCAATAACAGATTAGTTGCGTCGGCCGAAGGTCAATAATGCTGGTATATTTGGTCAAGTCTGGGACATTAGGAATAAGAATCCTGATTGGTTGACATCTCAGGATGCAACTGAACTGGTGATGAGGATGGGATATAAACCACGAGGAGGGAAATCCCAATGAATTAGCAAATTGTAAGACAAGTATCACTATACATAAATGTGTTTTTAATGAATCCACAACAGTTTTCATTAAAAAATGTTTGTCTTTAGATAGTTAACAATTTTATACAATTTACAAATAAGAGATTATTTTCTGATGTTTTCATCATTATGATCTCGCTTCTCTTTATTTTTACACCAAAAATATTTATAAATCATCATTTACTAAACCAAATAATCGAATAACACCTTGATCTCGTTCATATTTTGCTTCACTTGAATAACTCAACAAATACTGTCGAGGATGCCAAGCAAGTACAAATGTAGCTGATGCATGAGTTCCAACTTGATAGACTTGTTCACCTGTTACATTATTTTGGGAGAGGAGGGAATAAATAAATTAATTAATTAAACACATGATTTGTTAGTTGTTGGTTAAGATAAGAATGGTAAGTCTAAAATCAATCACTGACTTATCGTAGCAAGTTTAATTAAACAAGGTAGTTTACATAAAGTACAAAGACAATTAAATGAATTCCTTTTTCATTGATAAAATTAATTCAGTTTGAATATGTAAATAAGTAGATGGAAAACAGTTGCGTGACTGGCAAAAGTATCTATCGGTTTGAGTTGTCACATTTTACATTAATAATGAAGTGAGTCAATACAAGAATGCAGATAATAATATTAATGGAGCCAGAAAGTTGTTGACAAAACAGGGAAAGATAAGGAATACGTACAACAATACATTTCACTTATCTAGTACATGTATCCAGACTTCATTTTGAGTCATACACTTTTCGTTTGACCTAACAATATGATTTGGGTGATCAAAGAAAAGTGATCAGGATTCCAACGTTTAGTTTAATGATTGAGAATGTAAAATTACATGTATCAAATAATAATTTAGTCATAATTTAAGAAAGAATAAAGAATAGGTGTACTTGGGCCAATACGATCAATAATAATTTATTTCATCTAGACTTGGTAACCACTGATTTTGATCGTCTTGGATTCAGCAATAAGGAGGTTTATACTGTCTTGAATAATTCAGATTAATAATCAATATCTCTATGAACTGATCTCACATAATGATTTGCTTATTTTGAGCGTTTTTTTTGTTTTAACCAATGGATTAGTGATTAGGAAGTGAAATTCACTAAATTTTAACTATTGAGTTACAAGTTAAAAATTCAGCTTCATCTATTTTGATTAGAAAAGTCAGATATTGGTATTAATATTCCTTACGAAAATTGTAGTTTACAATTAAGTAAACAAAAGTGAACCTTGTCTACTGAGTTATTTCTACCGTAGACTGAGATGGAAGTATAGAGCATAGACGAATTCATTTTGTGGATTTACCAGACGCATACAAACCTTACTAAACAATTTTTATTTATCCATATTAACAATCATGTAATGAAGGCAAATGAAACCTTGTGTCAATAATTCGACTTCATGAGTAGTTATCAGTGGACTATATTGTATAAATTGATTACTGTAAGATGGTGTCTCAGTTGTCTAAACATTAAGAAGCCTAAAGGTCTTGTGTTCGATCCGCAATGAGGTTGTAAATGCGCACTTCCCAATATATTTCCAATTTAGATCGTTTTGCAATCTTGATAAACATTTTAAATTGTTGAAGATTTTTAGCTCATACTTGTTTTCATTCATAAATTAAGTGCATCAGTAACCTTAAAAATATTTGTAGTAATCCAAACGTTCATACTTATGCTCTAATAGAATATCAGTTAAAAGTAGAACTGTATTATATACGAAAGCTACAATTCTTACCTGTTTGCACATGGCCAATATCAATGAAATGATCTTCGCTAGCTGCAGCGATTAACTTGCCATCATACGAGAATCCCAAAGTACGTACTGGCCATTCTAGGCTAGTGATGAGAAAAAAATACATCAGAAGAATGATACTTTGTGACAGTCATCAGCTTTCATAATCATAATAGCCAATCATTTTATTTAAGTCAGTCACGATGACCGTAGAGCTTGGTAAAGATGTGTGTTAACCTAAATTGCCTCAGTACAATAGTAAAACTATATGAATTTAAAAAGGTGAATACCAAAGCAGTCGAAATAATGTGGTACCAATGCTAATGAGGAAGACTAAACATTGGGAATATGGTTCGGAAAGACAAGATGAAAAGACATATTAAAGAATACTGAAACTCAAGATCTGGAGTAAAATAAGAAGTGGATAAATCTTCGCGATTGTGATCGATTCTGAACCATGCTACTTAAAGTTTCCAACCACTTACCAGATTATCACACGAACCCCAGTCAACTGTCTAAACCTATACACACAATTCATCCCAACAATCAGTGGATACACGGACTGATGTCATGTCTTAGTTTTCTCGCACCTGACTTTCTCCGAATCTACGCTTACATCACCAAACATTATGAGTTGATGCGCCCCCAAATGCCCTGGTACGGCCGAGAGTGGGAAGGGCCCACCCTCTCTCACACGTCCACGTGCATACAGTCTCTGCCTAGGATTTCCTACTCACTGCCTTCTCTCACCAGGGGTGTTGTTTACGAAATCGAGAGGGCGAAAAGCGAATGTCCGGAGCTTTAACTGGACCAATGAACACGGAAAGTCCACATAGGGGAGTTGGGAAACCCTGATTGCAAACCAATGGTGTACATGGACTCCAGTATCCTGAGGGAACAAACGGCGTATGAATCAATCGTAGGTCACTGACTACCATGGGACTACATCTCCTCACGATGCTCCACTGCCTTGTGGGTCAGACGTTTAGGTCAAAGGCTCAGGGTGTGGCCCCCTAAGGGATCTACCTACTTCAGTCTGGACACCCGGGGAGTATCATAGACCTCACACAATTAAAATGAAATGACAATCTTTTGTGTGGCGCATATATATCTGGTACCCCCTTGTACCAATATTTGTGTTCAAATAAATAAATAAATAATAAGTTGGTGCATGCTGTAGCTAGCCATACGGAGCATGTTGATGAAGACTCATCAACTGATTCGCCACTCTAACCCTAACGTTAAAATTGCTTACTTCGTCGTTCCACTATACTCAAGCAATGCTTCAAAGACACTTATGATCAAAACCAATGTCTTCTGCTTTCACAGATCACTTATTACAGCCATTGAGTAGTATAGAGTGAACTCCCTTATAGTATACTTTTCCTTTAATCGGTAGACGAATATCTTGTTTTCATCACAGGTGACGCTAGTTGGTAAAAGACAATTAAGCTTCATGAATTCGTGCTAAAATTTCGTCAAACATCAACTTAACGAGGCTGATGAGACTTTAAAGATAAATGAAGTTTGTTGATATGTTGAATAAACAAACATGATAAGATGAATAATGTATTTTATTTATCCACTTATTATTTCGTCTGCTAGTTTAAAGTTGATATAAGACTTGGTTAAAACGATGAAATGTTAATCAAGCACAATTCTGTTATGCCTACAGACTAAATCGATTCCGCGGTAACGAACGAAAACCAAATGACACAATGACACGATAAGCTATTCTAATCTGTTGTCCCAGGCCCCGCTAACTAGATGAAGAAGTCCAAGGCAAGTAGGGGAATATATATGTATTCCGTAAGCAGCCGAGTACAAGCAATCAAATAAGGGAAAAAGTCAAGCGCATTTATACAGTAACAAATTGTCCTTGAGCACCATTAGTAAATAGCACACATAAAGAAACAAAGGACCAATAGCGGTTAAGATAGTTTACAGGTGGGAAATATGACGTGAAGGTAAAAGAGCGCTTTTGGCGCGAAAACAGCTAAATTCAAATTTTCAAAATAAAACTACAAGATTAGGTCATTTACCAAGTAAGTTCTGGGGATTTGACATCCCCAACACCTCCCCTTTTTAAGAAATCCGAGCTCCTCCTCCCCCACGAAATAGTGTTGGATCCTCATATACCCAATTTTCTACTAATGCGATTCTATTTATAACATGTTTCTGGCATTCAATAGGGAACCTGCTAAGATTGACTGGATGGTGAGGATCGACACTTGATGTGAGGTCAGAATTTGATTCTGCAGAAATGTAGTCATTAGACTTATTGCAAACATCACTGGCAGGTTGTGGATCACTATGAAAAACAGTGTCCAGCAAAACTGCGCTAGGTTCCGGATTTGATGCATGTAACAAATTTCCTGGACAAGCTTGGGAATCTTTGGCATTAGATTCGGTAAAAATTTCTATTGCAGAATGCGATTCGCTCGGTGTGCTGCTCGATATGATGTCTGGCACTTCGTAGGTGATTGGTGCGACCACTTCATGAGCTTTTAACATAGCATCGTGTTGATGAGAGCTGAAAGCGTCATTGATAGGACCTGCTAATTCCAGGATAGTGGAGTTTGAATCCACTACCGGGCATGTTGCTGAAACGGATAGTGATGGACAACCGGGCATGTCTTGTGATACTGCAGTTTCGTTTAGGTTGCGGCTTGTTGAGGAATCATGGGGGCTGCGATCATTTGCTAGCTCTGTGTGCAATTCAGAGATTAATACATCCACTTCTGACGCATATGTGAAGCATTGATGATCCAGAAACTGTGTACGTAGTTTGACCATGAACTCCAAATGTCGGTCAAAGAGCAACTGTAAGCGGTCAGAAGGGAGCGTCATTTTTCACTTTTGTCCCCGTCGCCAATTGTTATGCCTGAAACTAAATCGATTCCGCGGTAACGAACGAAAACCAAATGACACAATGACACGATAAGCTATTCTAATCTGTTGTCCCAGGCCCCGCTAACTAGATGAAGAAGTCCAAGGCAAGTAGGGGAATATATATGTATTCCGCAAGCAGCCGAGTACAAGCAATCAAATAAGGGAAAAAGTCAAGCGCATTTATACAGTAACAAATTGTCCTTGAGCACCATTAGTAAATAGCACACATAAAGAAACAAAGGACCAATAGCGGTTAAGATAGTTTACAGGTGGGAAATATGACGTGAAGGTAAAAGAGCGCTTTTGGCGCGAAAACAGCTAAATTCAAATTTTCAAAATAAAACTACAAGATTAGGTCATTTACCAAGTAAGTTCTGGGGATTTGACATCCCCAACAAATTCAAAGGAACATCGAAAAACAGTATGTCAGTGACAGAGATAATAAAGCATAAAAGAAAACGTAACGCGGTAAAATGTTGAAGATTCAGACATAACAAAAAACTAGTTGTATTTGAACTAAATCCATGAAAGGGGTTTCGTTATTGCTTTTTAAAGTCCTACTATAGGAACTGGCTAAGTATTAGGAGTTACTAAAATGAGTTGTATCAAATGATAAAATGAGTAGGAAAATAGGGTGTAATCAGAAACAACATAAGAGTGACTAAAGATCAGTTTGAAGTGAACTAACCACATGAAAGATAAAAACGATTTAAAGGACCAAAATTTAAGACTATAGGACTAAACAGTTCAATGACTTTATAACTATGAGTGAGTATTATTGAACTTTGAAGGATTAAACGTAGATTGAATAAATAAAGCTGGCAAACAAATTGATGCATACGTCAAACTGGTCAGGTGAGAAAGCTTGTTTCTTAGGCTACTAGAAAACGGATGTCGGTTCGAGAGCAATGGGTCTTGATATTAATCCGAAATTGATATGGTAGAAAAGTTTGAAATAACTTCGTTTGTAAAATTATTATGCTCTTCAACATATTTATTTACTAATTTGTTTCTTTGACATTTTTTAACAACAAATCTATTTTCAATCCTTTCGTAAGATTTCTTTGGGTTCTTATTCCTTTATACAATACCCTATTGTACATCGTCAACATATTATGGATGGTCAGTTGAAATGGAACGTTAATTAAGTTGCTAAGGAGTTCAACTTTCAGTCACTGTTACAGGTTCGAAACCTTTATTTGTTTTAATTTGATCAAATAGATAGTATTAATACTAGCCCTTAGATTTAGGAAATGACTGGAAGTCATTTTCATGAACCTATACTTAATAAACGAAATCTAATTTAAATAATGTACTTTAAAAAAATAAAGTTACTGAAAAATTTGATAAAGTTACCGAGATAATGTACGTAAGCAAACAAATTCATCTGCATCCCAAATGGACACTAAAGCATCTGCACTACCAACAGCAAATTGATGACCTGTTGGTGAAAATTGCAGACACATTGCATTGACTGGGTGAGCTTGGATACTTGCCTCACGTTTCATATCACCCGGTTTCCCACTATGAAAAAAAATCACCAAAGAATCAAAAGGCTTTTTATTTATAAGATCCCAGATTCATTAGTCAGTTTATACTACTCAGACTATTACTATATTAGGAGGTTGTAAGAATAATAATTGATAATCAGTGTAATTATGCTGAGAGAATACAACTAAAATAAGTAAGAAACATTTGTTTAATGGTTGATACTAGAAAGAGAGGATCTCATTTGGTCAAGGATTTTTATAAAACTTGCTTAACATAGCTTAATATATTTTTTTGGTTTAAAGTCAATTTAAAGAACTGATCCTCTAGTAATTTGTAATCTGTCGTATTACTTCATCACTTCCATCATAAAATATATTCATAAATTATTTGTAAAAATATATCATCTGTGCTATAACATTAGTAACTGGAACTTTCACAGTGTATAAAAATGAAGTTACCATGAAATGGAGACACTTTAAAGTTTGTCTTGTTCGACCAAACCTGTCCGTTTAGCACTACTTGAAATCGATAGACACACTACCTAAGTAAAACTGGTGTCCGTCAACCATATTTTAGAGCGTTAAATACCATTAAATAGTACTTTAAACAGAAGGGGATTTGTGGAGATTTCAATATTTTTCAAAGTTGAAATCATGAGTCAATTGAAGCTAGACCACCATCGAAAACCTGGAAGCACTGGACGACCGTTTCGTCCTATTATGGGACTCCTCAGCAGTGTGCACTCACGATCCCGCACTCGCGAGATTCGAACCCAGGACCTACCAGTTTCGAGCCAGAGCCCTTAACCGATAGACCACTGTTGTTGTGAAATAACAACTCACTGGAGGCAATTAGTGAATGGTCGCTCATAATTCGTGGATCGGTTGAGGTTAGACATCAACACCTTTGGATGCCGGCTCAGTGGTCTATCGGTTAAGGGCTCTGGCTCGAAACTGGTAGGTCCTGGGTTCGAATATCGCGAGTGCGGGATCGTGGATGCGCACTACTGAGGAGTCCCATAATAGGACGAAACGGCCGTCCAGTGCTTCCAGGCTTTTGATGGTGGTCTAGCTTCAATTGACTAATGATTTCAACTTTGAAAAGTACTTTAAAACACAAATAAAAGGAAATCGGATGGAGTACAAATAATAAAACCTATGATTTTAAATAGTTAATATTTTAGATTCGGTTAGATAGCTACGGTATATTTATTGTAAGATTGTCGAAAGCTCAAAAGAGTTTTGACAAGAGGATATTAAAGAGTTAACAATTTACTAAAATAGGAATATCTTACCAGCAAATATGAGGACGATATTATATTTGCTTAATAATACACAAAAGAAATGCTTGATCTGTTAGCATACATTTTGAATTGCTATAATTAGAGAGTTACATTGCTACCACAACTATCATTTTACTATCTAGTTTTCAACTATATGCTATTATAAGCAATTTTCAGATTATTTTATGGTTAGTACGTGCAAGATATGCTCCAAGGATCAGTAGAATCAAGGTTGAAGCTTTGATAAGACGTTTGGATGGAATATTTATTAGACAGAACTATATTTTTTAAGTAATCAGAGTACACTGTAGGATTTTCATGGAAAAATATACGGAGGAACATGTCGAGTACAAGAAGCTGGAAAGTATGTGTTGTAGTCTAATAAGTAGGAAGGACCAACTGTTACACAGTCAATAGAAAACAAATCATTCTTCGTTTTCCCAAGTCGGTTGTTCTTTAGTTTGTGGGCCTTGTAGTTTTATCATCTTAATCACGGTAGTTTTGCTATAAGGTGCTAATTCAGCCAGTTGCAACGTAGAAGCTGGTAAGTGTGCACATCAGTTCAAATCCCCATAACCCATTAGCGTAATCATTCGTCGAAAAACTTAATTCTAATTTCCCATTGTCAATTAATTTGTTTTTCTCTTGTCTCATTGAAAAATATATAACAATAGTTTCCAAATGAGTCCCCTGAAAAACGTGATCATCAGTGTAATTAGCAAATTTGTTGCTACTTTTGAAAAGAATTGTAACGAAGTACCAACCTGTAGACTAATATACTTCCAAGACCAGTGGTTAAAAGAAACGCTTCCCCACTAGGGTTCCAGGCGAATTCATTAATTTCTGAAGTGAACTGTTCCGCCTGTACCACTTTGAATCCTGCACGCAAATCAAACCATGAAACCTAAAACAGTAGCAATGAGCTAGATTTGCAAACAACTTCAGTGTGAATAAAACGCGAAAAATTATTACTGGGGTATTAACTAACTAATGATAAACACATTTATGCATTTAAGACATAAGCCAGGAACGTGATGACAGAACTTGAGCGATCTGAGGTAATGGAATTAGTTATATTTTTAAAACTTGGACATAAGATAAAGCTGGTAAGCAGAATGCCTAAATTACGCAAGTTGGGTATCTATATAAAATCTTTACCAAAGTGAATAATAAATAGAAAACGATGGTTACACTTTGGGTGACATGGCTCAAAATCGTTTGCAACAGCGGAGATGCACATACTCTTTGCCTTTCTCCAGAACATGAGCCCCCAAATCCCCCTACCCTTTATTTATTTTTTCGTACCTAATCGATTTTTACTATTACTGCTCCTAATACACTGAGATTTGTCTGGAAATAATTTTATTTTGCTATGTTAATTTGGTATTCCTACAGTTGAAGAACAAATGGAACTCAAAACAACTTTCAAGCAATATCAAAGTAAGTCTTTAATACGAACGCCAGTACAGTTCTACTGTAAGGAGCTGAAACTTGGAGAACTACTACAACCATCATCAAAAATATACAAGCATTTATAAACAGTTTTCTACGCAAGATACTTAATGCCCGTTGGCCGGAGATCATCAGTAACAGCCTACTGTGTGAGAGAACAAACCAGCTTCCATACGAAGAAATTAGGAAAAGACGTTGGAGGTGGATAGGATATACATTGTAGAAATCATCAAACTGCATCACGAGACAATCTTTAACTTTGAATCGTGAATGGAAACGGAAAAGAGGAAGACCAAAGGACACACTGTACCGAGAGAATAGTATCGTCAATAGAATTCATCATTTCATTTATTTGTGGAGGAGGTCAATGTATGACATGGTGTCGTGGCATGAAAGAAAGCTGCAAAGGGCTAGCTTCTGTGGGTCCTTCACGACTCCCTGGCTGGGGTTCGAGAGGTGGTGCAACACATTGGCTAGAGACGTTATCAGATATGGCTCAGAATAGAAGCCAGTGGCGATCCTGCTGCAACCTTCTTTTACTTTCTTCATAAAGAGTGGTTATAACTTTCCTAACTGAGAGAGTTCTTCTGGTTGTACGTTTCAGTTCGCCTTATCTTTTCATCCCTTCTCTTCCTACTTTCATTATTTTGTGTGGTGCATATGTACCTGGTGCACTTTTGTACCAATATATATGTGTTTAAATAAATAAACAAAACTGTACTGAGAATTGAAAGCAGACATGAAAAGAATGAACAGCAACTAGAAACAACTGGAAAAAACTGTCCAAAACAGAGTTCGATTGAGAATGCTGGTGGACAGCCTATGCTTCTCCACGAGGGGTAACAGGCGCGAGTATTTTAATGTGGCATGGGCCCCCAAATGCCCTAGTACGGCTGAGCTTTAACTGGGCCAGTGGACACGGAAAGTTAACCTAGGGGAGTTGGGAAACCCTAATTCCAAACCAATGGTGTACATGGGCTCTGTGGTCTTGAAGGAACAAAAGGCGTATGAATCTACTGTTGGTCACCGGCTACCATGAGACTGCATCTTATTACGCTGCTCCATTGCCTTGTGGATTAGACTTTTAAGTTAAAGGCTCGGGGTGTGGCCCCCTAAGGAAATCGCCTGCTTCGGTTTGGGCACCCGGGCAGCACTTCAGCTCTCACATAAACCGATTGATTTATGTGGCACACATCTATTTAGTGCCTCTTCGTACCAACGTTTGTGTTTAAAGAAATAAATAAATAACATGGTATGGCATCTTGAAGTGATGCACATGTCAAGCTGTATGTTGAATATGATGATGGTAAATATATACGTCACTAGATCCGACCTCTTAAAAAGGTGTTAGACGCAAACTAAGAGTTTAAACACAAGTTTTGTTGTCTTCAGTGGAACATTTTCAAAATGATTGAAAAATAAAATTGGGATGAAGTAGCTTAAAGTTTTTCACCTTTGAGCTATTGAAACTTCAGTAAACCAAGGAACCCTTAGTTTATGAACATGCATTAAAAACAGAATAGAATTTATTTGGTCTTATAAAATGAACCAGAAATTTGCTGCCACTTTCAAGGCTGGTCAAAAGTTGCTTTCGGTTTTCAATAAACCGTTTAATTGCGTTTAGAAGTATAGTTGTAGTAAAAACGAACTTAGTGGTTTTCACTAACACACATGAATTCGGTTGCATGTGTTGGTTAACAAGTAACGCAAAGTGCAAAAAGACAGTTGTGTGAGCAACAAAGGAGACTAAGTAAACATACCAAATCTGTTTTACTACCAACAGCGATGTAACGTGCGTCCGGTGACCATGCCAAATTAATGTTCTCTCCTTTACATTGTGCTGTGATTGGATCTTTTTTGGTCCGACAGTCCCACAAACGAATAGCACTATCCGCACCCACAGTTGCAACTACATCATTATCTGATGGGTGCCAACAAAGTTGGTCTACGCTTTCGTTATGTCCTCGGAAACTATGTACTTTTGTCTGAAAATAACCAATAGAGCGAAATTTCAACTAACTAATCTTGTAGATTCTAATGAGTATATATTTACAAGCTTGTCAGATGATCCAGATGCTAACCTCGACCCACTGCAATTCCACCCAAGTGTATGTATTTTTCCCCCATAACCAGAAAAATCTTTAACACGGGAATTTTTAAGAAAGTAACTTTTCAAGCGGCTTAGTTCTTCTGATTTCATAATGTCACCTTTTGAGTGCAACTCACACCAAGATGAGGCGACGATCCGGTGGTGTTGCCCACTGATGGAGGTCACTGAGCACTTGAAGGTCAAAGTAAGGCTACGGTTTGTAATTTTGACAATGAACTTAACGACTAATCAGAATGAAGCGGGAGCTATCATTTTCACCATCTTTGTAAGCAATGGTGGTCAGCTTTCCTCATTCTATGTTTTTCCGCTGTTATTTTGGTGTAGCTGAATAATATAGTGTTTTAGTGTGCTAAGATCCCGCAATTTATATATTACTCTATGTGTTGTCGCCAATTTTTTTGAATCCGTTCTGTCTTCTCAGTTTTAGCTGCTTCTACTCAAATCACTGAATTCCTTCAGACAACTTTACTTTTTATGTGATAAAATGTCAATCCGTTTTTTCGGTATTATTCAGTAAACATCGGAAAAAGGAGTTATTTTTTGTAGCTAAAATAGATGTTGCTGCCAACTGAGATTCTTTAGATGTCCTCATGTTCGTTCCTAATTGTCATTTATGTTGTTATTGAGAGCAATGAAAGAGAACGACTTCCGGTTTGTTATTTTCTTCAATATTGTGGATGACCCTATCCTATCAACAAGCTGAGCTAAAGTTGAGCGTCTAGTAGTAGGGGATATCAGCGTTGTTCTTGATAAGATTATGAGACCCAAGCACTTAAAAACCTGGAACCGAGTCAGATACACCATTTATCTGTTGCAGAAGGCCTGTTATTAAAAATACACCACATAGTATTACTAAATAAGCTGGACTCACTACGTCCTACGTGAAAACAAGCTCAATACTGGAAAGCCAGAAATCAGCCACCAGTATGTAGTGTCTATATGTTATTTTGGCTATGAAAAGACGGAGGGCCATGGGCAGAGACGGTCAGGATATACATTGTGCTTATCTATACTTCGACTACCGTGACATTTCCTGATGGTTATAGTAGCTTTTAGGAAGGCTAGGGGCGCAAAGATCTGTTTCCATCGGTAATTTATAAACGAACCCGGGTCTTTAATTTATTCAGGAAAATAACAGAAATGTGTAACATATTACTCCTAAGAGTTACTTATTACATGTGAACTGGGTGCTAAGACATTCTCATTTAATAGATTTACTACTATGGTTAACTTGACAAATCAAAATAGCATCGGATTTAGAAATTTATTCAGGAATAGTTTCAGTAAAATTGGAGTATCAAACAGCCTTTACACCAGGATTCAATTTACAACTTTCACATTGGTAATGTTAAGCTGTAGTCCCGGTTATTTTTAAAACTAAAAGAGAAAACAAGTAACTAGTAAATGGTTGAAGTGAATGTGAAACTAAAGAGAACTTTAAGCATGCTATTTAGAAATTTGTATAATCCATTGTTTGTAATGCCTTCGTTAGAATCATTCACAGTTGAGATAGTGGAGGAGATTGCAGCTCAAATGGATGATTTTGATAAAGTTTTGTTCTCGGAGCTGGTTGTGGAGCTTTCATCGTTCCCCTGAACGACATCATCAGCACAAACTTCAGGTGGGAGTGTGGTGTTCAAATTTCTCAACATTTGGTTCACCGCTTGTCCTGTTGACCTGCATGTTGATCGGTTCTGTTGACCTTAAACCTGTCACTGTTTACTTCTTTGTTTCGGTTGTATCTCCTACTGGTTTGATTTTTGGTCCTGTGTTTGTCCATAATTTTCCTCATTGGTTGATAAACTGGATCGATTTCAATGTGCTTGTCGATTGATCAAGCTCACGAAAATTCTCTGGTGCTTTCGGAAATGCCTCCATCCAAAATTTCCACATTTTTCTAGCCGAATGTGTGTCCGAAATTTTCCACGTGCACTGATATAAGTGAAGGCATATTCTGGCGTTTGAGTGCTAATTGATGTTCATACAGGCGAAGATGAAGAAGACATCCTCTTCGCCCGATGTAATGTTCTTCGCAGTCGGCACAATTTATTCTGTAGATGATGTCTGGTTTTCTTCTTTTGTTATTTGCATACGATTGGTTGTAGTAATTTTGTTTGTGTGCAACACCTATTCCGAAGGGTTTCAGCAGTCTCGTTGTAGTTTCTGATATTGCCTCAAAACTGGGATTCTTTGCAGCACTATAGTCACTACTCAAAACTTCCGTGATAAGTGATGGAACGCAACAGGAAATAAGGCAAACTATAGTATAAAATCGTCATCTTTTTCCGAGATCGTCTCACTTACACTTGACTTCTTAATTCCGGTTTCTTTTATTGATCTGAAAAGCTGTCTGGTGTTACCTACAGCCACTGCCTTTTCCATCTCTTTTGCTTTCGTTGCCCACCACTGCTTACGATCGTTCGTTAGACTTTAAGTTAACCTTGATCTGATTAGTTTACGCTCTTCGTGGTGTTCAAAGCCTGATGGGATGAGTTTACGCGAATCCATCAGTGAAATAGACCTAGAAGAAATCCATTGGTTTTCGGAGCCCTATGGTTTAAATTACTAATAGATATTATTGCCGTTTCCACAGCTTTTTGTATATCTTTCCGAGCAACATCTGGGTCAGCCTCGTTTACAGCACTGCCTAGGTGTGAACTCAGGTGTTCCTGGAATCTACTTTCGACTTTCTCCTCGCTGAGTTCAACATTAATAGGTCTTCTTAATTTTGCGTTTCTGCTTCCAATGAGGCGTGAGCAAATGCATGTTCGTATTAAGACATGATCAGACTCCAAACATGTACTCCAAAACGAGCGGCAGTCTTCTATAGAGTCTCTACAACGATGACTGATGGCAATATGGCCTGTTTGAGTTCATCGTGCAGGGAATCGTCATTATAGACAATGTCTCTCTTTATCCTTAAAATTAGTGTCTGTTAGAAATAAACGATTATCTGAGCACAGTTGCAGCAGACAGTTACCATTATCTGTTCGCTTAGCCGGGATACCAAAATACCCGCCGAAATGTCTTTCTGTTTTGTTTAAGTTACTTACTTGAGCATAAAAGTCACATGCTACGAGTACTATGTCTGAGTGTTTAGCTTTTTCAAGAAATCCAGAAAGTTTTTGTAAAATTCATCTTTTACTACATCTGGGCTATAGTCAGTGGGAGCGTGGGCAGAAATGATGAAAAGGCAACAGTGTGTGTCCCTATCCTACCGAGTTCTTACGGAGCCATTTATCCGAACAGCAAGTAAGCAACTGTTGACGGAGATCCATTCTAAATGTGCTTGTTCTGCCCTCGTACTCAGTGTTATGCCGACACCCACCAGTTTATAGTGGCGCTGGGCCCCAACCACACAATCCCCAAAGCTGAACACGAAATAATTGGGAGAATGGACCATCAACATGTAAAACTAAGAGAAGGTCAATAATTGTGAACACTAGAACATTCATTCAAAACTAATTCAATCCATCGGGTGGCATGGCTCAGCCTTGCAGGCATGGTCACTCTGCATGAATTGTATTCACTCATATTAAATATGTTCTATCATCAGCCTGAATGTATTTTACATCATATATTAAAAATTGTTACAATACGGTGAGTCGGTGTAAATAATGGTGTGGCATCCACGTAAGATATTATAGATTAAGCAGTTACATCATGACAAATCTACAATCTTGGAATTGGGTCTATTGTTGGAGTTGTACTGATAACGAGGTAGAATATAATTCTACAATTTCAGGAGAACTAGCCATCTGGTTGCCAGACAAACAGAAGGCGTGTCTCGTCGGCTCTCTGTTTTGGCAAGGTGGGGTCAAGTGAATGACCACACTAGGACCCTGTATGTGTGTTTTTCAGGATGCATTTTTAGGGTTGATCTTTTCTCATTCTACATCTCCTTGTGAGGGAAAAGCATTGCTGTTATGCTGGTTGTCTTCAGGAAACATCTTACTTCCATCACACCTATGTGCAGTCAGCTGCACGTCCTCGCCCTCAGATCTTGGGTTTGATACTTCTAATCTCACCGGCTCTTCAACCGGCCTGCGTGGCATGGAAGGATAGCGAGGAATGATTGTCGTTTGCCGTACAGCCTGCTTGGTTCTTCACGATGGGCAAGCCCGCACACTACGTCAAGGTAGCAGCAGCGGTTCGAAGATAAAGAATAAAGGTTATTAAGTTTCAATTTTCACATATTTTTGGGGACGAAGAGTGAAAGCATCGTCCTCGTCGAGTCACAGTAAATCAAACTTCCTTCAACGGGATCTGGTAGCCGTCTTAGTTTGAGACTAGAGTTCTTTGCTGTAGGTGTGTTTAACAATTTCGGATTCTATTTTTAGTTGTCTCTTAGGCCTCGAAATTTACTGTAGATTGTTATAATACGTTCCTTTCCAGACGAGATAATACATCTGCCTACTGAATGTTCTGACCTTTGACATGCCGGATATTACTGGTGAACTGTGATGTATATAGTCAAGTTTTCGGACTTCCAGAGGAGAATACGTATCCTCTCTAGCTTTTAATGTATTGGTTGCTGATTTGTGGCCCACATAAACCATGAATTACTTGCCTTTCAACATGTGACGGAAACGCCCCAATGATTAGATAAACTGAGAGAATTTATCGTCCGAAAGTAGAACGTCTCATCTCTGCCTGAGAGTGTCTTTTTTGGAAGAACAGAGTCGGTTTACTGGCGTCTTTGATAAGTTTGTTAAGGATGTAACCCACTTTGTCTGAAGCATCTATCATCAAAGCAAGTGAGGAATGGGAATTCGGTTACGTTAACATAAATACTTGAGCCAGTTTATCTTTTAGCAATTTAATAGCCTCTACAGCATTAATTAACGGTGTAGGACGAAGTCACCCGTGCCACATCTGTTTTTCGGTGGGTATCTGCAGGAGGCTGAAAAAGGAGTAAGAAAAAGAAAGGACGAAAAGCAGAGCACACAATATTCATGGAGGAATAGTTAATGTATAACCATTTAGTCTATTTGTCTGTTACTGAAGTATTTATTAGGTAAGAACATACTAATGTGTTAAAGAAAAATAAGTGTGGGCAAGGTATGAGTAGGTAAGGAACTGTATAAATGAAGGTAGTTCAGAAGAAAGTATGGAATTGTGTAATTATAAAATAAAGTGCTGAAAACAGTATTCCGATACAAATGGCTGTCTCCCTTTTTTCGAAGCTGTTTGAACTCTCTTTTTTGTTTTCACATTTTATAAGGTATAGAGTGGACTTCGTTTTTAGCCAATTGTCTAGTTTGTTGTGTTAGGATTATTCGGTAGGAAGTGGAACCAATTTAGCTTTTTTTTAATATGATCTAAAGTGGTATTTTTCATGAATAATTTCG